CAAAATTCCCTTTGAGTCTGTTTGGTTAGAAAAAAAATATGATGGAAAGTGAAAATAATAGAAAGTGAAGTGAAAGAAAAGAAAATAATAGAAAATATATTTTAATGCATGTATTTGGTTAGAATGAAAAATTTATGAGAAAATTTGAAAAAAATTTCTTTTTATTGTTTGAAAGAAAGTAAAGTTATAAGAAATTTTTTATAATTGTTTAAATTACCCTTAATTATATTAAATCGATCTAAAAAAATATAATTATAATTGAAAGTTAAAATTTTTTTAAAAAGTGGCTCGAAACCTAATTTTAAGACAATCATCAACACAAATATATTTGAGTAAAATTATATGATTAATCAAATTCATACCAAAATTTTTTTAAAATTAATAACCAATAAAATATTTTAAGAAAAATAAAGGTAAAATGAAAAATTAGTTATAGATCACAATTTTCTTGCATTTCCATATATTGTTTACAAGGAAAAAAGTTTGTTATTTGTGAGAAAATTTAAATATAAAAGAAAATTATTTTTTCTATCGTTTTCATTTTAATGTTAACCAAACACATGAATTTTTTTTTAAAATTTCTCTTTCTTGCATTTTTTATTCTGCAACTAAACAAATAAGCCCTTTATTTTTTACTTTACTGTGAAGCCAGTCAAATCTGAGTACATCTCTGTGATCAAATCAGTGAAATAAATATAACACCAGTTAAATAGGTTGGCAATGCAAATTAATGTTTTCTTTGGTACGATGAAAAGTTAGAAGGATGAAAAGTTTGAGAGATAAAATATCATATTTGGTAAAGAAGGAAAAAAAGAAGAATAGAAAAGTAAATGAATTAATTTTTCTTCCAACACACCAAAATCAATCTCTCCAAAATTTGGAAGAAAGTGGATGAAAAGTTAATTATGTGTGTTAAAATGTATATAATATATATACACTACTTAAAAAGTGAGGATACATGAAAAACATTGATATTCCATTTTTACCCTTAACTATTGGTATAAAATCAATCATATCCTCTATGTCTTTTGATCTTCCCTTAGCATCAAATTAATTAGCTGCATTGTTCAACAAGCAATGTCAATGCACGATCATCTGATTATATTTAATTTTCTTAAATTAACCATAAACGTTTACAACTCATTGTCTCCCACAACAAATAAATCTTTCTTTGCTGATACAAAAAGTGTTGTTCTCGATCATCTTCTTTGTATTCCATTCTCTCATTTCTCTGTTTTGTTATATTTCAAAATTTTGGCTATTTGTTGTATCAATTTGTGGGCATCTATCCACAATCTTATCGATTCTCTAATTATTTTCAACTCACCAAAATTTTGGACTATGTGTGAATAGAATGAAAACAAAGAGAGAAGAAGAAGAGAATACAATGACTGAGGACTCTAAGAGGCAGAAGCTGTTTCATGAGCTTATTGAATTTCTTTTTGCGCACATCTCATTATTCATGAGGTGGTAGTTGCTTTATGTGCTTTTATTTACAGAGCATTTGAATTTTATAGCTTTTTGTCAGGTTTTGGATTTTGTTTTTGAGAAGTTTTGTTATATTTCTCTTTTGAATTTGAATGTTTATGCGTGTTTGGTCTGTGGGAATTACTAAGGAAGATGCCAGAAATCTCATGCATAAACTCATAGTCTTGAAGCAGGATATCAGGTTTACACAATCTTCGAACAGAGAAAGTTTATTGCCTTACTGATGGATATGAAGTCATTGACTCTTCATAGATGACAGTTGACATGTTTTTTACTCGAGATTCACTAATATTTAACTTTAATTGCTTTTTACATGTAGCAGATTTTTTATCCCTTTATATCTTTGCTAATAGTTTATATTCCTATTTTGGTTAATCTCCTCGTTCGATTTATTTGATATTATTGTATAGGTTTACTCGGACGCAAGTTCGGCAACTTGATAGAAATAGGCAATGATCTAGGGCACTTATTGGTTATGATATTTGTTGCTATTACTATGACATTTTATTCTTGTTGCTCATTGGTATATTCTGGACAATTTTGAATATAAACTTAGACAATTAAGTGTCCAATTTCACCATTCTCTGATGCTAATTATAATTTTATGGTTCCGACAATTTTTTTAGGTGGTACTCAATAACATTAGGAAGACTGAATTTGTGAATGTTACAATTAAATCTTTAATGTGAGTTACTCCATTGAGGAACTTTTTCATTATCCTTAAAAATTATCTACATTACAAATCTATACTCATCCTTTGATTTGGAGAGCTCATTCGAAAGAATTGGCACTCAAGGAACTTCAAGGGACATGTTTGTTCCTGGTGTAATCAAATTTTAGTAATGACTTTTGTTCATAGAAAGCTTATACTTAACATTTTTTGTGTCTCGAGGTGAGCCCACATGAGTTTCTATAGACAGTTATGGACTACATACAATTTTGAAATCTTTTTATTTTTTTTTTCTTATGAGCATATAATTAAAAGAGGTTGACATTGATTTGTGTTTAAAAGTATATGTAGTGTCTACATCAATTAGGTTTATGTATATATTATCTTTCTTTATTTCCTTGGCCAAATGTTCCATACGACACACAAGGAATACAATAAAAAAATAATTCAGATCGTCACTTTTGGGTAATGGAAGCTTGTGATATCCCATTAACTGGTGTGACACCTCACGTAATAACAGCAAATTGAAATATTGGGTTAGTTGCAGACTAGAAAGCATGAATACTTCTCGAGAATGTCGCGGTAGTGTTGGACACAACCAGAAATGTGTCTGACACAGTTAGAAGTGTCTTGAATAATGAGTTCAGTCAAACAAGACCAATATTTTTTTTTTTAAATGATTGTAGCTTGGTGGTGTTTTTGTGTGTGTTTGTGTGTTTTTTGTTATGTAACTTAATGTATGTAATTATGTTTGGTGAAAATTATAGATGTTTATTTTGATCTATTTTAATTTTAATCAAAAAAGTAATATTTGCTAGATCTTGTTATTAATATTATTATAAAATATGCTTTATTTTTAATATATTATAATTTTATTATTGTCTAAAAATATTTTATATTATTTTAATTAGTTGTATATTTGACATACATGCGTCTTATATTTTTGAATTTTTTTATATCCCAGTGTCTGTATCGTATTAGATATATATTTTATTTACAAATTAATGGTAATCTTTTTCCTTCTTACACTTGATTCTTGATTTTTTTTTCCTACAAATTCTGAATGCATGACCAAATGTTGGGTTTTACTTATAACCAATTCAGTGAGTTTACTAGGTGCAGATCTAAATATCTTCAACTAGGTGTGACTTGACTAGATTTTCAAACCATAATCTTAAGGTAAAGTGGTTAATGCCTCAAACTAAACTATGCATTATGTATTGTCAGTTCAAAAAAAAATTTCTTGCCTTTACTTGCACAAATAGTTAATTTAACTTTCAATTTTTTGTGAACAATACTTCCATTGAGTTGCTGAAAAAATACAAGATCTGGCCAAAAACTTGGAAGTTGATTTCTAGATTTTCAACTCAGTAAAATTGAACATCAATTCTTATATTCTCAACTTAATGAGGTAATTGTGATATTATCTTCTGAAAAAAGACATAGTTGTAGTATTAGGTCTATTTAAGTGGAAGCTAATTTGAATTTTTATGTAGAAAGTAATTGAATTTGGATGTTTGTGATTGTAATACTTTTATAAAGTAAACTCTTTGCTTTGACGAGGAAATTATTTACTGAAATGAATATGAGTTATAAAAAATCAAATAGAATTTGATGAAAAAATCAAATGATTATTAATGGAAGATAGTAGAAAACAAAGATGAAGATATTATCTCGATTTATTTGTGACATAGGAAACTCGACCAAATTGATCGAGTTTTCCAAGATACATTCATAAGTTTTAGACATCAAGAAACTCAACCAATTGGCCGATATGAGAAATTTTATGAATGAGACATCAATTAAGATGTCTAATTAGCTATTTATTTGTCTTTTAAGAGAGAGATTCTCTCCATGACTTCCCTTTTCCTTTAATTTTGCTTTTATAAACTATTACAGAGGTTTTCTATATAACTTCTCTTTAGTTGCATGATTTCTTTTAAATTATTAGGTTAATTTAAGTCTGTTATGCCAGGGCAAAAAAGAAAGAATGTTTGATTGATTTTGTGACAAGAGTGAAACAACAATAGTTATCACCCGCGCACCATACTCACACAATAGTCGGAGAAGATGATGACAAACACAAACGCTCAGATGGAGGCAAGGAATATCTCCTCCAATAAGTAGAAAGTCAGAGTAAGGTTCTCAAGATAAAAATGATGCATCAAGAAGGGGTCCACGAGCAATTTGAAAATATTCAAACTTGAAGATGAAGAGTTATTTAATTACCTAAATCAGCATGTGATAATTTTCCTTTTGATTTTGTTGAAGTTATCCAAATCATGAGTTTATTGGTGAACTATTGATTCTAATTCTTGGTTATTGACTATTTGCTTAATTTTTTTTTGTGAACATTAAATAATGTATACCTCCTAACTTACAGTCGACATCTAACTAGTAAGAGAGTTTAAAAACTTGTCTACAAAAATACGATGAATCTATGTGATTTATTGGAGTTCATGATTTTAACATCAACAATGAGTAATATTTGATTATCGAAATGGTCAACATGCAATGCATTTGTGCACCAACTAATATATATATATCATTTGACATATACATATATCATATTTATTAATTACATATTATGTATTTATATTTTTTCATCCTTTTATTGTTTTATTAATACCAAACATAAAAAAATTAATCATTTCTACTTTCCTTCTTTAGATGATAGAAAATGTATCATTTATATTTTTCATCTTTTCTATTAAACCGAGCATAAGTATTTGCTGATTTTTGATTCTCTCGAGCTTTTTTAAGAGACGAGTCATTTGGCGAGTGTTGATTTCTTACATTCCTTCTTTTGATATTTTAGTAAGCTTTGTTTTTAGGCGTCTTTTTTCCTTCAATGAGTGGCTTTTTCTCTGTTCTAGAATTATTAATTACATTTACATTAAAAAAGTAAAACATAATAAATTTTTGCCCAACCATATCATTCAAATACCAAATGCAAAACTTAAATAGAGTATCTAGCAAATGAGGTTCCAATCACTTGAAAATGGTTACTAGCAAGTTACTCAACAAAAAATGGAACAACATTGGCTTTCAGAGCATGACCTATGCATCAGACATTTTCGAGGAGAACTCTTTCACATCAGAAATCACGTGAATTTGCACTTCAACAACCAGATTCTCTCGTACTATGAAGCCCTTCGATTCATCATACAAATCATGAAGAGAAATTAGATCATAACCGCAGCAGTTGTTTTGGTCACACAACCAATAATTACCTGTGATAGAATAATTAAGAGGAAAATTTTAGAGGAAGTGAACAAACTAATTTTAAAAGGAAAATAGTGACAAACCAGTTTTCCAGTCTCTGTAAAAAGAACATATGTTAAAGATGGAGGGCAAGTGTTCACCTTTCTTTTCGCAGTGTTTGCCATTGACTTGGTCTTTTACCAAGAGGCTAAATTCCACATACAATTTTCGCTTGGTTGGAAGGGATTCGCAATTATCTAACCATAGAAAGACAGATAAGCTTTTTCCCTTTTTACTGCCACTTCCTTTGGGATAAACAAGTATCTTCCTAGACCAATAAAGAAAACAACATATAAGAAACAATTCCATCTGGTTATGGTACATAGAGAATAAGAATTAAGTGAGGAACTCAAAGGGCTTAAACCATTTGTGCTCTCCAATGGTGAAAGGTTCAGAGAACAAACGCTCCTCTTTTATTTCTGCAATTTTTTTGATCTCCCAAGAGTAACTATTGTCATAAGTTTCCTCCTTCAAAGAAAGACACTCTCCTCTGCCAGTAGGTTTAATGACATAAACCTCGACTCCAAACATACAGGAGTCATCAATGAGGTATCCTTTAGAAGCATCTTTGAAAGTGTCGAGGGAAAGTAATTTGGCGAAACCAAACTCAGTCTTAAACCTGTGGAAACGTCTTACTCTCCCATCAGCATCTACACACATGATGCACAGAAACAATTGAAGTCATACTCTCTCATATAGCTTAAACAGAGTTATAATTACTACAAGTGAAAGAATGAGCATTTAGAGAAATGTTACTTTGGATGGTCCGGTACTTGTCTAGGTTACGATCGTACACCAAAAAGTCGAATTTGACATTAACCTCCCAATTAAGAGGTAACGTATCTGTCGCTGATATTGCTAAGTAGAGAGAGATGTGATCTTTCCCATTTCGTTTCTCATCTCCATTAGGGTATAGACATAATTTCCTGCAAACAAGGCAAAGCACACTTATCTTGGATTTTAAAAAGCAAGAAGACTTCTCACAATTGAGAAGAAAGGATTTCTATTTTAACTCACCATTTGTAACCACATGATTCAAAGTCCCTCGATTCAAATCTTTTCTCTTCGGCCTTGGAAAGCAATGAGAACGATTTGATTTCAAATAGGTAATCACTTGGAGGAACGTCTCTTAGTGTCTTTGAAATTTCTGCAGAGACTCAAAAAAGTTCATACTTTACTACATATCACTGTTTTATATAAAATCTTGATTGCAGATAATATATTCTTAAAAAATTTTGAAAAATACAAAGAATGAGAAAAATAGAAAAAAAAAGTTTGAGATAAATTTATATCATAGGTTTCTCGTGTTTTGATGAATAATAAAAATTATGCCCATATTTAAAACAAACCGTTCAGACCAACATTACATGGATAGTGTATCGATTTTGTACGTGATACGATACTTGTTCTAATACACGGTACAATAAGAATAGCCTTAATTGACACACTATTTTGAGTCGTGGTTCGTTTTGTAACATTTATATAGAATAATATATTGGTATACACATAATTAATAAATATTTATTTTAAAGAACACCAAAATAAAGAAATAACAAGTTAGTAAGAGTTATGATTTGGGGTTAGTTATATCATGAATCAATTTGCGGTTGTACTTATAATTTGGAGTCAGAACTTTGGATCTAGATCGCGTACCCATTTTATTTCGATTTGTGAGAACCTGGTTCATGGGACGCTAGGGGTATCTACGATCCCTGTATGTATAGTTCAGACATCTCTAATAAAATGCCTAGATTTCAACATCTAGATCTTTTGTTTCAAACGCATAAAAAACACATAAGCATCCAGAGGAAGACATAGTGATTACCAGCTGCACCATCATCGTCAGGGAAAGGATGGACAGACTTCTCGTCCATGACTTTCGTCGTATGTTTTTGAAGAACAAGTTGATGCGAGTGATTGGATTGCCTGCTTGGTTCCCTGCAGAGGAATATAGAGATGCTATATATATATATATATATATATATGCTACACGAGCAAAGCACCTATAAAATCAGAGGCGAATGAACTGAGAATCAAAGTCATAAATGAGATTTAATTAAATGTGAAAGACTAATCTATAGAAGATAATCTATATATAAAGCCAGTTTCTATGAAAAATGAGATTGATATGTACCCAACAAAGTAATATAGTCATAAATTTACTCTGTCTCACTCAGCAAATTAAGTAAATCACCTGCAAAATTCAACCCTATTAAAATTCTTTTTTTAGGTATTAAAATTCTAGTTGATTTGAGCTCTATCTGTGTTGTTAGCGCCGATTAAAATTTTTATTTTTTTTATTTATTAAAATTCATACCAATTAAAATTAAATTCAAGTTGATTAAAATTTGTGTTTTATGTATTAAAATTTGAGTTGATTTAAATTTATATTTTTTTATGTATCAAAATTCAGACTGATTAAAATTCTATGCGAATTAATTAAAATTTGATTTGAGCCGATTAAAGATAATTAATTTTTAATCGACACTAATTTTAATACGTAAAAAATAAAGTTTAATTAACTCGAATTAAATTTTAATATTTAAAAAATTTTAAAAAATAAATGGGATTTTTTTCAAATATATTATAGACAATTTAGCAAAATTGTATTCTAATTAACATTTTTAATTTTATAGGAGTGTCAGTAAAAATTCAAAAAATAAAAAGAGTATCGTTGAAAATGTGAAAAATTAGAAAAAGGGTGACTAAAATTTTTTTCCAGAAAAAGGGCACACCGTGACATACTGAACCTACCTTCTCTCTTTAATACTAAAGACACAAACACTTTATTCTCTCTCTAAACGCACAGTCTCCTCTTCTCTCCTTTTGTATACGATCGGTAACATATATGTATGTATATATCAAACAGACAGAGAAGTGAGGCGAAAATAAGAAAATTTAATCTCTGACCGAAGAGAGTACCTGATAGTCTGACACTTTTATGGTCAGTTTGGTACGAAAGGGTAGAAAGAAAGAAAAAATTGAAAGAATAAATTTTTTATCTACGAATAAAAGAAAGTTATTTTTTTTTTTGTTTGATAGAAGAGATAAAAATAAAAGAGATATTTTTTATCGATCAGTATTAGATGAAAAATAAAAGAAAAAAAACATATATGTCCAATTTTATTTCTGTCAACTCATCTCAAGCCCAATAAAATTTTTTACTCTTATCTGCCACGTGGCAGTGTAGCCAACCTAGACATAACCTTGTTATGTGTCTTGCTTCTAGAATGTTGGGCTCATTTGTTGCATATGAAATAAGGGGTAAAATGGTAAAAGCTATGTCATGCCCAAAAGTTGATTCAGTCTCTCTCCTTTTCCGCCCATATTTGGGGGAAGAGTTTTGGTGGGCGGAAGGGAAAGACATTCCTCCCCGGCTGCCGCTCCATCTTATTTTCCCTTCATACCAAACGGCAAAAACTTTTTCTATCCGTCCCATTTTTCTCTCTTCATTTCTCATCCACTATGTTTTCTTTTCTATCAAACAGACTATTAGTCGCCCAAAAATCACGAAGGTTCGCTTGATAAAGGAGTTCTTAGGTAAAGTGTCACACCCCCCGATTTTTTTTCTATTTTGAAAAAAAAAAATTAATCATACATGACTAAAGAATTAGACGACGCATAACTCATAATAACCTTCCCTCTGTTATTATTAACATATTCAACATACAATTACATAAAAGATAATACAATTTGCACTTGATCAGCTAAAAAATTCTTAAAACAGCATAAAAAGAAATAATAATATTAGTCTTTATCTATCATCATTTCAGCTTATCTTTTATCTGACTTCATATTTCTGAAAAATGTTAAACAAGGATGAGTTCACCAGCCAATAGAATAACATATATCAATGATTATCAAGATTTTAAAACAATACATAATATAATTAAACAACAAGTAAATGCAGGAATATGTCAAAATAATGAATCAAATAAATAAATAAATAAAATGCAGCACATATCGATCATATCAATTCATAAATTTTTTGGTTCACGCATGAATTGCCTCAGGAGAAAATTTTGAGATTTTGCAACCGAAGGAACCCAATGCCTTTTTTGACAACACCAATATCAAAAATTCTGTGGCACCACACATACTACCAACGACAAACTGATATTATCAACTAGTGAACTCAAGGACTACTAGAAATTATGTGAATTCTCGCAAAAATCACGCGCCTACTAACCCCCAATCATCGATAACATGCATTCATAATAATTTCATCAAAATCATAAACTAGAGTTATATTGTATTTACACCCAACAACACGTAAAAAATTAAATACTAAATAAATAATCAAAAAGAAAAAAATATATTTTATATGTCACTTGGTTTCACAAGATGATTAAAGTCTCGATATATGAAAAAAAAATATAACATGTGCATGATCATAATTTATTTATAAAACTTAAGTTCGATCCCATGATTAAAGCGATAGAATATTATATTATATAATTAAAATAGATTTGATATGAAATGCTCAAACATATATAAGATGAATCAATGATAGTAAAAGAAAAAAAATCGTATATCAAACGTAACCTTTACTCGATACCGTGTACTGTGACAAAACAATCAAAATAATATTTTAGAATAAAAATAAGTAAAAAAAACTTAGTTAAACTAAAATAATTTTTGGAATAATTAACAAAAAATAATGATACTTAAATTTAATCCAAAAATATTTAACGATGATCAAATTTAACTGATTGAACATATAAAATTACTAAATAATAACTCAAAAAATCTTACCAAAAATTTAATCATATAAACGAACTCTTTAAGTCAATAAAGTTTTGACCTTTTTCTTTTCCTCCCCTCTCTCTTTTTCTTTTCTTTAATGTGTTGTTTGAAGGGCCGAAGACAAGTTATTTATAGCCAAAACCTTGGGTCCTAACATCACTCATGATATCTTTCAATTACGTCATATGACAACGTCAGCCAAGATATTTTTGTAGCCCATGTTATAAAACACTTGTCCTCTAAGTGTAACACACACATATTTATGTTCATAGATATATTCATCCACGACAATTTTACAAAATTTAACTTAAATTATAATTATTTAACTCATTTTCACGTAAAAGATTTATATTTGAGGTTTATACGTTTATTTTAATTAATTAATTAATTAATCTATCATTTTAATTTAATTAATTAACTTCTCTGTTCTGGAATCATAATCGAAAACTTAATTAATGTGTTAGTAATTAATTATTATTATTATTACTTTTCTTTATACGGGTAGTCACATGGAGTTGCCGGAATTTGGATATCACGCGCATCGCTGGAGCATGCAGACGGTTAGAGATGGGAAAAAAGTGCCGAGAAGAGTGAGAATATGCGTGAGGGAGAAGCAAAAATAGTGGGGCAGTGATAAAAGAGGCACCGGACTCCAAATGTTTATTCACTACAGTTAATTTTGAAAAAAAAGGGCTTAAAAAGAGAGAATTATACTTTAGCTCTCTAAATTTGTTATTTAATTACTTAAATTCATAATATTTAAAATATTGTTTACCAACCCTCTAAAATTTGTATACACATAATACTTAGACCCCTGTCATCAATGTCCGTTAAAATATCCATTAGTAAATTATATTTACAGTCTCTGAAAATTGTATGCGTATAATATTTAGACCCTTCAAGTTTAAAATGTTATATCATTTATTGATATAAAATAAAAAATAAAAAATAAAAAATATTTTTTTTAAAAAAATCATAATTAATATACAAATATATTTTCTATTAAAATAAAACTAAAAAAATAAACAACTATTCAAACAATAATGGACATAATATCTTCTATTTTTAATTAGGATAGTTTGATCGTTTAATAGATAATATAATTATATATTAGTTATGATTTTTTAAATAAAAAATTAGATTTTTAATTTAAATTTTATTTTAATAAAAAATATAATAGAACATGAATTTTGGTTATAAAATTTAAAATATTTGATTTCTATCTTTGATTGGATTATTTTTAATCTAAGTATAACATTTTAAATTTGAGTAGTCTAAGTATTATAAGCTTATAAACTTTCGGAGGTCTGAGTATAATTTACTGACGGATATTCTAATAGACAATGCCGGTAGAAGTTTAAGTGTTACGCGTGTACAAACTATATAATATTTCAAATATTAGGAATCTAAGTGATTAAGTGACAAATTTCAGAAAATCTGAGTGTAATTCTCTCTTAAAAAAATCAAGGAAAACTCATTTTTTTTTATTCAAATTAAGGGAGACTCAAATCTTTACTCAAATTTTTAATTGTGAGATTTCACCATCTTTTAAAGATTCAATGGTCACCCTTACTTTCTTTTAAATTTGGGTTTCTCCTCATTTAAATTTGGATATCTCATTTTTTAAATTTGAGTTTGTCTATTGGAGTCATTTATATCAAATCAAACTTTTTACTCAAATATCAATATAAATTTAAATAAAAATTTGAGTCATGGTTAGAAATATTCTAACAAATGTATATTTGAGTTCATAACATAATGGGTGTCAAGCAGTTGCTTGTTATGTTTAGCCGGTCTATATCCACTTATTTATTTAGACATATGCAACAAGTTTATCTACTGATCAACTTTTTTTCGTTTTATCAACCACCAAGACTAAATTTAGAGTCTATTCATATTGATTTTGTGTTAAGTTTGCATATCTGATTTAATTAATATTGCTATTACTAGATTTCAACACTTGAGTGTTTTTTATTGTTTTTATGTTATGGTGCTCTTTGGGGGATAAGTTGCAGTGTGCAAATTTGTATGTATGTTGGGATTGGATACAGCTCTCCAACTCTGGCCTCAGTCATAGCAGATCTCACCCCAGCGTCTACCTTCTTACTTGCAATTATCACAAGGTATGCACGAATCCTCCTTTCAAGTTAATACTCTCTCCCACTGGACCAATGGTACCTTCATGATCGTTGATTCTGCTGTCGAGCAAAGGTTAAGATGTAAATCTATATATGTCTTTAGTTTAAATCTATTTGATTACATAGAATTTCTGTTTAATTAATACACGTTATTTATGAATGGTTACCTTGCAAATGAAACTCCTTTATAAAAAATAAATAAAAAACCAAAACTGAGTACACTTGAGGTTGGGCATATGTGCTTACCATTAAAAGGGTTCACTTATAGCTGCCCTTTAAAAAAAAAAAAAAAAAAAACCCCTATGGCTGCTCATAAAATGACACTTCTAGGTTTTAGCCTACTCTATCCGGTAGAACTATTTGTCCCATGCATGATCAAATTAGTTATTAATATAATTTACTAAGTCAAATTATACTCATTATTAATATAATAATACAATGAATTTGATTAATAAATTATTTCGGTCACGAGAAAAAAGTTGGAGGGGCAACAGCACAAAATTATTTTCCTCCTTTGTTCAATCAATCATTTTCCTCAGTAAGATATCCTGAAAGATTTTCGTAGCGTGACTAGGCCACGAGGCCTGTGGTTGTTGCAATGTCTAAGCCACTTGCCGTGTTCATTGCAGCTGTCATGGGAATTACTTTTCTTGGGGATGCTCTCTACATTGGAAGGTGAGCTAGTCTCTAACTCTGGGATTTGATTACAATACCGACCAAAGATAGTCGGTACCAAAAATACCGATCAAAGATAGTCGGTATTATCTTAAAAAGTGTTTTTTACAATTTTTGTGTTACTTTATAACTAAAAAATTTATAAATTTTGTGGGTATTTTTATTATTATTCTTATTATATATATTTTTATCATATTTGTGAGAAATATTTTTACCATTTTTCTTTTATACAAAAAAAATTATCACTTCTGTGATTATTTTATCACGTTTGTGAATGTTTTTATCATTGGTACCTATTTTTTTAACAAATTCTTGATAAAAGAAAATACAAATGTAGTAAATGAAAATATGGTACAACAAAAAAAAAAAAAAATTTCGATAACTTAAGTCAAGTCTTACGCTAAGTTTCTTTTGGTCTGACACTGTTATAAGCGATAAGGATGATCGATCTCATCGACATCGAAAACAGTGGCATTAGGCAAACCGTCAACTTCAAAATCTTCGTCTATTTCCTACATTTTTCAATGTTGTGTCAGTAGTCCGGGTCATGGGACCACCTGACATGGCCAAAAATAGGGCCTGTGGCCCCAACATGTTGGGCTATCAACCAGTCCACAGGCCTGCCCATGACCGGTTGTCGTCAAGCTAATAGCCCCACTAATGGATCATGACGCTTAACATATCTTAAGGATTCGTTTGATAAATGTATTATGATGGGAGTAAATATTAGATTGTATTATTTTTTATTAAATCGGCCATAGTATTTTGTTTGATAAGTAAATTTGATATTGTATTAATTTTAAAAACGTATACTTATCGTATATTTTTTATATGATAGACCTGTATTATGAAAAAATATAAAAATCACAAAAAAATGTGGTATTATAATCCAACTAAAATGTATTATTTTACACATTTACTATTGTAACCCCGAACTGATAAAAGTAAGCTATCATCAATGTTACAAACACTGATAGAGAATATTTTTGTTAATTCAACATTAATACAATGAAATAATTTCCTAATCAAACAACTTATTTAATTAAATAACTACTATCCAACGTTTATATTGTGCATTATCAAACATTAGATAAAATTACGTATTATTCTAATACGTTATTTAATCTTGTCTTTTGTCCATCTGTATTGTATTAGACTAAATTGTTATATTTAATCCATCAATTTCTAATACGACAACCAAAACGAGCTTTAAAAGAATTGAAAAATGTTATTTATATCTAAATTATTGACTTAATTAATCATAGTCGTTAAATTGATAGTAGATTCCAACAAATATTAGGACTTACAATTTAATCAATGACAATAATTAATTAAATAAATATTTTAGATTCAAATAACATTGCTCAATAAGATTATGTGCTTGAAAAGTAAACTAAAATCGATTTCAAACTCAATGACAACTATGGTTTTTTTGCAGTGTGATTGGTGCAGCTATAATAGCTGTTGGGTTCTACGCTGTGACGTGGGGAAAAGCTAGAGAAGAGAAAGATGTCAATGACAACTATGGTTTTTTTGCAGTGTGATTGGAGCAGCTATAATAGCTGTTGGGTTCTACGCTGTGATGTGGGGAAAAGCTAAAGAAGAGAAAGATGTCAAAGGCCAGGAAATATGTAGTTTTGATGAATCCTCTGACAGAGTCCCTCTTCTGCAAAATACAAGTGTTCATGAATAAAGTAGCAGGTTTTAAGAGCGCACAACTTGAAATCCTTAAAGTAATAGCAGTATAAAAAGAGCAATAGCAGTATATGAGTTTCCGAAAACAAATGACAGTGAAGTGACCTAATGGTAGGGATTTGGCCCACGGTCCAATTCCCGGCCCAAAAGCCCGGTGACTCCAAAGACAGAAATTACTTCGAGAAATCAAATGGACACTTAAGCCATGTGAAATTTTGAGGAATTTGGAGGCCTGTTCTTACATAGGATTTTAAAAAGTGAAAATTGGAAGTGAGTTCCTTATATGTTTGGAGATAAGCCTTATAAGGAAACTTATAAGGGGCTAAATTTATGTTTAAAATTATATGTAATGACTTAAGTCCATTTTCTTTTACCTCAAAAATATTATTCCTTGAAAGGAAGTTAATCTTTTTTTTTTTTCATATCTATTTATATTTATTTATAAGTTAAGAGTTTGATTGACATTAAAATTTTCCTTCTCTCTTTTCTATATATATATATATATGTTTGTTATACAGGCAACACTATTTATATATATATATATATATATATATATATATATATATATATATATATATATATATATATATATATATATAGAAACATTCAAATACAAAAAAAAAAATTACTATGAATTTGAATAATAAAATTTAAATTCATGTTATTATTTTTTTTATTATGTTACTGTTCATGTTACTATTATTTTGAACATTTTATTGTTTTTGTTGAGCATGCTACTACTATTATTTTCCTAAATATTAATATTCAATGTTACTATTTTTTGTATTTGAATGATACTAATTTTTGTGTTTGAATTTGAGAGAAATAATTATTGTTAAGTATGTTACAATTTTTGTTAAACATGTTACTATTTTTGTTGAACATGTTAATATTTTTGTTCAATATGTTACTGTTGTTATTTTTTAAAAATATTAATATTGAATGTTTTAATTTTTTTTATATTTAAATGTTACTAATTTTTGTGTGTTTAAATGTATTATTTTTTGTGTGCAAATGATAACTTTTTTTGTATTTAAATGTTACTCCATCCGTTCTTAAATATCTATCGTTTTAGGTTTTTGCACAGAAATTAAAAAAACTATTAAATAGCTCTAATATGAGTAAAAAATAACTACACAAGACTAAAATACCTTTATTCATTACGTATTGAAAAGAAAAAGAATATGAAAGACATTTAAACTACACTTTATCTATTAAGCATTTATCAAAAAACATAGATAAGAATAAATTTGAAAGAAAAAATATTAATTATTATTTGGTTTCATAAAAATGTGGAACAAAAAATATTGTGTAAAACGACAGATATTTAAGAACGAATAGAGTACTATTTTTTATTTTTAATGTTACTATATATATATATATATATAAGAGAAAATTTTAATATTAGTCAAACTTTTATCCTATATATGAATATAGATAGATATGAGAGAGAAAATATTTTAATGTTAGTCAAACTCCTAAGATTTAAGAGTTTTTAATTTTTAATTTTATTTCACTTCTAAAGGGAAGGGATAGTATGGTAAAATTGACAAAATATGGACTTCATAATAAATAAGTTTCCTTGACAGATTTAAGTTAAAACAAGTCCATATAAGGAACCGGCCTCCAAATTTCTCTTTTAAAAAAGTTTGGTTATCAATTTTCTTTTGAATTAGGTCTTTATTGAAAAGTCAAAGTAATGGACATAAGTAACGTCCTTTACAATTGTAAAAAATAACAACAATTTTATCACTTAATTTAAACACATATTCTAAAAAACTAAATCATCATAATTCTGCGGGCTAGATTTTGCACAACATAAATACGAGAACAGATCTCTACCTTGGTGAATTCGAGTGAGTCAGTCGAATGGTCAACCTTGCTGCCTGGGACGGCTTGCGAGGTCCGTTGGTAGTTCAGAACGGTAACGAGAGACCCTCGTGGGTCAATGGAACGATCTAGGAAGGCTGAGGAAGGTGCCTGGAACAAAGAAGGAAAAGTTAGAAGGGTGCCGGAGTGTTTTCCGGCTTATCCCCTCCGATGATCAAGTCAGTTTTTGAAAGAGAAAGGAAGAAGAAAGCACTGAGTATATTTCGTAGTAAAGAGTTTTTGTTGCATTCCGTCTTAACTTTCGAGAGGTGTATTTATACCTCAAACACTCATGATTGCTGTCAGTGTGGTCAGTAGATGATCATTAGATACAGGCGACGTGCGCACTGATTCCTACGAGGAATGTTTTTTTCTTTTAATTGCTCAGGATCCCGAGAGACCAAGGCCATGTCATCGGCGTGCCGACTGTTTAATGAGCTCCTCTCGGGGAGGATGCAATAAATGTTCAGCCTCAGAGACATTTATTGCCTTTCACTTCCGAGCCTTACCGCATTGAATGCGGTCTTATCAAGGGAATGATGTAATTAAAACCTTGCTTTCCCAAGTCGTGTGTCAGCAAGGGCATGCGGTCTTTCTGTATCTGATGTGACACAATATGCCCCGCGTCCATTCCCGATTAGCTGTGTCCCCTGCATCCCTGTGCCTTCTGACATCGATCGTGTAGGACGAGGTCATGATGACTAACCTAGCCTAGCCTAGGCTAGTGACTTGTACATCAGTAGCTCTGCAGGAGAAGAGGATGACATCCTGGACATTGGTACATATCGGCACCTAGGGATACATGTCGGGTACATAAACGTACTGGGATCCCTGACAAATACCTCGGGGGGAGGACTTGTGAATCGACGTATACGTGATCTCGGTGTCAAGGATTAGTGACACCGAGGACACGTGTCTTCATCTTGGGGTGTTTCAAAAATGTCCCATCAACTGCCCCCCAGCCTTCGATCCTCTGACACCGAGGACATGCGTTGTAAGGAGACGAAGAGTTCTGCAACAACCCCAACTGCTTCATCATTGCCCCTAGCCGTTTTCCCTTACTTAGGATGTCATGCGCATTAAATGCGCTTTTTCGTGCTTCGCGCCCATTGATGGGATAGACGCTATATATAAAGGGGCTCTCTTTCTTCTTCCCTTATTTTCGTCATTCTGAACTTTTCTTCTAGAGAGCCCTTGCCTGAATCTTCGCCGGAGACCTCTTCCCTTCTGTTTGTTAACTGCCCAACCTTTTCACTGAAGCTTTAAAGCCAACAGACCCATCCTTTGTTTCTGAACATTCTTGGAAGGAATCGATTCAAGTTTTCCAAAAAATACCTCTTTTTACGCTCTAGTGAGTTCCAGTATCTTCCATTTCTTCGCCCTTTTGTCTCTTTTGGTTTTTCGATTACCGGAGGTATTTTCTGGTTGCCATCCAGCGATCAACCCCGGGAAGCCTTCTTGGGGATCTTCGTGGAAAAACCCCTCTATTTTTATCACTTCTTGAACATGCCTCGTCGTTGTCCTGCCCCCGAGAATCCTCAGGCTAGTACTTCGAGGCCAGGGAAGTATAAAGTAAAAGGCAGTGAACAAATTAATAGATTTAGGGTTAGGTACGGCGTTCCACCGAATGTAGACGTAGAGGATTATGACGCGTCTGTGCACCCTCGTACCCTCGGTACCGAGGATGCAATGCCTTTTTATATTAAATCCATTATAGAAGGCGGAATTAGGTTCCCTTTGCCCCCTCTGCTTCTCCAGTTTCTCTCTCATTTCCACCTCTTTCCCGGACAGTGTTGCCTTAATGTCTTTAGGATAATTATGGGGGTCCTAGAGCTCAATAGGCGTCTTGGGGTAAACGTCGGACTGAAAGATATCCTTTTTTGTTATTCCCTTTTGAGAGTTACGCCTCAACAACACTTCTACCTCAAAGCAAGGGACCCATCTATGTACCTCGTAACTCACCTCCTGACTCGGACAAGGGGTACAAGGATGACCTACTCATCTTCAGGGGATCTTGGCAGAGAGGTGTCGGTCCCGAGTATGAAGGCTTGTTATGTCCATTGGAATGGAAAACGACAAGTACGTCAGTTTCTTCGGGTCTTATTATTTTGTTTCTGAGATTTTCTACATGCTCATGACCCACTCCCCTTTTTTTTGCTTGTGCAGACATCTCCCCTCGGGAAACAGCACCTCCACCCCAGTCGTCGGTGAATTTTTTCTGACTTAGTCGCTGTTTTGGAGTTTTACTGGCGACGACGGGCTCGGCCGGGCTGCCCACATCCTCCTGAATTACACCCCCGGGTATAAAAAGTTTTCGCAGCTTCCCCAGCCTTTTGAGCCTTCTCGGTGGTCTGAACTCTTTGATCAGGCGGTGGGGCAAGAAGTTGAGGAGAACTTGTAAAAGACCCTGATCGGGCCTCGGAGGCTGAAGTTGAAGAGCTCGGGGTCGGAGAGGACTTGGTTCCTTCGCACGCCGAGGTGGGGACTTCGGGGAGATTCCTGGCTGGACTTCCAAATCCTACAATCTCTCGATGCCGAGGACTCCCTCGAGATAGCTATGTCCAGCACGCCCCGTATTGATCTAGGGTTCCTTAGGCAGAGGCAAGCCCTCGCTGCTCGGAGGGGACGAGGATCGACTGGTGGGACCCCATCTGCAGGGACCAGCGCCACCCCCTCCTCAAGAGTCGTCAGTCAGGATCAGGTGCGTGACCGAGATCCTCAGGTAGAGGAGGAGAGGAGGGTCAAACATAGGCACGACGGCCTTGGGAGGGGATCCAGGGCCTCCCCCGCTCAGCAGCAAAGTGGGAGAGGCCGTGGGTTACCTCCTGCTCCTCAGCAACAACAATAGCAACAAAAACAGCGGCAACAGTAGACTCCTCCTCCCCTTCCACAGATAGTGAAAGTTGCGGAGTGGATCCTCGAGCCACTGATCACATGGACCGAGTGATCAGGGTCAACAATTCCATTTGCAGGACCCTCATGTCGCCAATGCAGTGAGTGAGACGCTGCATTTCGAGGCCGACATGGCGGCTCACATAGGGTGATCAACGAACGTGTTGTTTCGCTCTATCATCCAAAATTCCTTGGTGGTAAGTTCATCTTTGCTTCAGTCTCTTTTAGCCCCAATTT